TCACCAAGATAACGGAGGCCAGCATCAGCAGGCTCTGAAATACGTCCGTAATGAGGACCGCCTTGATGCCGCCGATCGTCGAATAAAACGTGCAGACCAATCCTATGCCGATTACGCTCGCGGTCGTCGAGATACCTGTGGTGGCTTCCAGGGCCAGCGCCGGCGCGTACAGCACCACGCCGCTGTACATGAGGAGCTGCAGCTGAAATGCGATGCTGGCCGCCAGCCTGGCGGCCGTTCCGAAACGTTTTTGCAGGTACTGAAAACGTTGATATCGCACGGTTAGTGTTCGCGACGAGATCGTCACGCTAGAACCATATACTTACTTACCGTACCCATCAACACGCCGGGTTTCAGTTATTTCATCTCTTATTTCGTCCCTTATTTCTCTTTATTAACCCTTTGCACTCGTGTGTCATGCTAGTGACAAGACAAATTTGTTATAGAACGTTGGGAATTGCTTGAGAAAGCATCACACCTTAACCCTTCGCACTCCAGAAGTTTTTCACTGGAAATACTGAACACTTTCTAATTAGATGCGGACATTTTCTGAAATTGACTTGTGAGTAATCACAGGTACATTGGGGAACAGAACTATTTGTTTGCGACGTTTTATGTATTGATGTATTGTATGAAGTTTGATATCTAATGTTAAGAACTTTGTGTCAAGTCGATTGGCGGCTGAGAGACGTTTCTGGAGTGCGAAGGGTTGAGGGATTATAAAATTAAATGTTACTATGATAATGAATTAAATAGGTGTAAACGTTGTATTCTACCGCTGTAAATTAGTTTAAAAATAAATACGCGTTTATACCCAAGAACATTGAAAATCAATCGAGTGCAAAGGGTTAACCCCTTGACCTATGATTTCTTTGTGAACTGTGACCGATCCAAGTACTTTGTTATTGATTTTGATTATTGTTATTGATTATTTGATTTAAAGCAGATATTTTCTGCTTTGTGTTCTTTCGTTGTACCGGTGAACTGTAAGGGGGTTGAAAATAGAACTCACTTCGAAAGTGCTGGTCGTTCCAAGCTTGAAGAATATCGGCACGTATAAGTAAGCTACGAACGGCGTGGCCAATCCATAAGCGAGGTTGATTATGGCATATTGGGTGCCGTAAGCGTAATTCTCCGATGACACCCCCAACACGCTGACCGCGGACAGGTACGAGACCGTCAACCCTATCGCGACCGGCGCGACTCGCATCGATCTGTCTGCCAAATAATACTCCTAAACGATGTGGAGAAATGTTTTTCATTATTCTTCAGTACCTTCGTTTCTTTTCTTTGCTGGCTTTACTATTTCAATACACGATCTTTAAACTCTACTCATTTTTCACGTATTTTTTCCGTCATATTCGGTTGAATTTCATTGACCGAAAGTTCAGTTGTCGACAGAGTCTCAGACAGTTCACAGAACCAGAACTAGTTAATCCATTCGAAACTTGTGTTTCCTTAAAAGCCGATCCCTAGGCGCTAAAACTCGAAATTACCATTTTTACCATTACTGTTCATTCTTTGTAATCCCAAGGATCTTGATTGTGGTTGCTCTTTTAGAGATTGCCTTGATATCGATACAAACTTTCACTTTTAATTTTCACTAACTAGTACAGCGAGATAGTTTCTCGTTACTGATAACAGAAACTCATGATCTCCATTACATTCCTGGTCCGTGATTCATATCAGGAATCGGTTACGTTGATACGTCCGATAGGTTTAGCGTTAAAAAATGTTGAGTATTTCCAGTGGAACACTTCTGGAGAACAAGGGGTTAATTAACACATCAGGGGTTAATACTCACATCGGTCGATTTCTGTCTGCCACCGGTCAGCCAGTAATACACGCCGATCCCCGAGCTGATCATCAACGTGACCACGATCACTGCGTAATCCGCCGCCACCAGGGTAGCCATGTTGCTCTCCCGTCAGCCACCGAGACGAATCCTCGACGGACGTTGTGACCGCGACTGAACCGAAGCCGGCCAAGTTTTATTTATCTGTTGTATCAATTAAGAACATGACAGCTCAATCATCGCCCGGCCCGAACACGCGCGCGTTCGGCCTTTTCATTGTTTACGTAACGAGACTCTCGTACGAGCGCCATCCAGATCGATGCTACTCTATTTTCGTTTCTCAACTATCTTAAAACTCGACGTAACACCAACTTTACCAACGATTAATTATTTATTCCTCCGATTAAACGCGTAATTCATTCTCTTCTCGCCTCAGCCTTTTCATTTTAAGAGGATAATCCCGGCGAAGTTGCCCTAATTTTCTTTCGAACACATTTAAATGGAAACTGAAAGAATTACGACCCCAGATTTAGTTTCTAAATGATCTTTTATTATTTTCGTACAAACTAACCGACAGCAATTGAGATTACAAATGGAAAAGCATCAACTGTAATTGTAATTGCGTCGATTGTTTATGCGAGATAATTGAAATGGCCATCATCCCTGTAATTACCGTGTATATTAGTTGCATTCGTCCTGCGTTCAACGTGCATGCTCGTCATTAGTTGATTTTATCACACATCCCACGGAAGATTTTTAAATCTAAATTCCACGATTAACTGGTGGAAAAGAGAACGCGTTCCGATAAACATCGGCGCAGCCTGATTCGGTCAGGTGTTCACGGCCGAGCGCGAATAGTCTGGTCCCACTCGTCCTCTTTCTAACGATCGTCGCGTTATCGAAGCCCGAATCGTCTCGTTATCGAACTCGGACGCATTCCGCGTATTCCGTATCTTTATTTCCTAGCGCGAGATCCATGCGCGCGCCCATTTTGATAACGCTTCGAATCGTCGACGCGTGCACATCGACTCCCCGCGAAACTGTCGCGTTTCTCGAGTCCATTTTTTCGAGTTCAGCCTTGAACCCTGCTAAGCACTGTCTTTTTCAACCCAATCACGGTTTCACTTTTTAGCACTGTTTCGTTGGTTTGACCCCTTGCCCTGTGATTTATTTCTGAACTATGATCGATAGAATTATCGTTAATCATTTATTAGGAAAAGAAATAATTGTGATGCTTATTTTACGTCTACCTTTACTCAGAAGGTTAACGATTAATAATAGAAAAGCAATGTTTAATGTATATTTAAACAGAATAAACGACACTTAGATTTTTCAAAGTCAGTTAAGAATTCTCGTCGCGAGTCTGACACGATATTACAGATCAAGGGGTTAATCTTTCATTTAGCCGTAGTAATGAGGAGATAGCGAGGTGCACTCGATAAAACCGGTGCATGTGAATGATTACGAGTTTTCACAACACAATTCACGTATATTTTACTACCACAATGCAAACAGATTAAATGTATAGTACGTAGTAAGGAGTTTTTGAGAAACAAGTGCTCGCTTTAGCGATCGAGACGATACTGTCCGTTAAAAGGTCGAATTACAAGGTTCCGAGGCGAGTACTTGTGATGGCTACAGGTGTAGCGTAGCCTTCAGATAACGCGTTGATATGTATATCCCCAAATCAGTCGATCGACCATTGAGAATCCGAAACACTTATCTCAATTTTATTCAGAATACTCTAAGTTCGATAATGGTGTAAGAAAATCGTAAATAGTCTGCGGGTCCCTACTATTTCCAATGATATTTCGAGTGCATGGATAAATTGAGGACCGTATCCCGGTTAATTTGCATTTTGGTGAGATAGGATTTCGGAACGAATTGATCTCTCTTCTGTCCACGTTGTAGCTCTACGTTCTCCGTCGTGTTTTTGTCAACTTTATGTCGATCAAGCAAGCAAAAGTCGTTTCTTTTCCTGTTTGTGTTCTCTATCTTCCCCGTAATTTGTTTTCATGGGTGCTAATCGATAGTACCACAAGGCCTAAAGTCGTTTAAGCGCGGAATAAAGAAAGAGACGAATAAATCTCACCTAACGCTCGTCGCCGAGGAACGCCGCGAGCCGAACGTTTCGAGGCGGAGGATGGATATAGTTCACTGATAACGTAGATACAAGTAATGAATTTCCAATTGACGAACGATATTCTTTGCCGAGCTTTTATCTACGACTGTTCGATAGAAGTACCGCCTAACTGGATGCCAATGTCGATTACCGGGACTTTATCGGGTCGGCAGTAAGCCCGAACTCGTTTCGAGAATAGAATTACTATTGTTGACTGGAGATATTGCTCGAGGCGTCGATACAGTTTTGTTTCCTTCGAGCGTATTAAGAAAGTTAATACCGATCGTACGTTACAATTATGTTCCTGCACTTCTACCCGGATGTTTCGTGAACGAAAATAATTAAATCTAATATTTGCCTGTTCAATTCGAGATCACGTGTTTGTTTCTTTTCGGTATTTAAAGAAGAAATCGAGTTCTCTTTATGTTGTTCGAGGTAAATTAAATCGGTCGACGCATTAGAGACACGGTTCAGTGGTTTCCGTTCGAAGTGAACACGAAGTTTTTCGTTCGTTTCGAAATTTTTGTGAGAATTCGTTCTCGAACACGCGAAGATCAGCTGGGTCGCAGGAAGCAGGTTACGTCGGTTAACGTTGTCACGAGATTCCTGGCAAAAAGTCGAAACCTCTACGGCGTTACGAAATGAAATGAAAGGCTTCGAATTACGGTTATTAAGCACGCCGGAAATATTAAACGAGGGACACCGGTTAAATGGAAACACCTAATCAAATGCGCGTTACCGGACATTTCAATTTTTCGAGTCAAAAAAGAACCTGTTCACCGCGAATGTTCCTCCGTAAATGTAATCATTATATTTCGTTCATCATTATATTTCGTCATTATGTTCATCTTCCTTTCTTCCTTTCCTTAACACTAAATTACCACTACAGTCAACGATAAATCGAGAAGCTTACATAAAACAACACTTTACCGTCCCATTGAATCTATAATTTAACAAAAAGCGTTTGCAACATCAACGAGAACATCTACGTAAATAAAACTGGAATCAATTTCGATGAAAGCAAACTTATGGGAGTAGTGTCGGCCATTCAATCGAATGGGTCGAATGAATTTACTATTACGTCGATTTTCCAACGCTATTATTATCAGATTCGTGGCGAGCAGCGGATAAATGTCGGTTGTTAAGATTACAGTTACGCGGTGTACCGGAAGTACTAGTTGTCGCGTGCTTCGTCTGTTCTAATAGCAGAGTCCGCGTGTTATTTATGAAATTATTGTATTTCGAGAACACCTTCGGGAATTCCTGGCCGTCTAATCGCGCCGGTAAACGTCGTGTCTCAAGAAAGATCGCAAGGCTTCCTCATCCCGTGCCAGCGACCTTCTCGAGGCCCGCAACAATGTCACGAATTACGAACAACGTAGAGATTTTCGTCGTAAACTTTGTTATCGGAATCGGGGCTCGGAACGAGCGACACGCGGCGCGGCGCCATGCAGGCAAGGTCTTAAAATTACAGTTACACGCGATGCCGGAAGCGTTACGCGAAAGACACTTGCCGCCAGATAATGCGTCTCGTCAAACGGGAGAAGACGTATCCGCGGAATGACGGTAATTTCGACACGCGTTACGAAACTCGAAATATTCGTCGGGGAAACGAAGGAAGGTGAAGCGAGCTGCAATGTTATAGAAGGTGGAAGGACTTCGGAAAGATTAGAAGAGAGGGAGAGTATTTCGTCCGTGATCTACCTAGTGGACTCATCAATAATGCTTTTTGCCTTACGGGAGGACTGTAGGTTTTTTTGTTCTTAACACGTTGACTGCCACGTTGATCACCGATGGCCGGAGCTTTCAAATTACTTGATAGTAATTATAATTTGTCGGATAACTAATGTCGAACGAAAATATTTCATAGCGTAAATTACTAGACAACAGTGTGACTCAAGCATTGCGATGCCAAATAATAAGTAACTGTTCTTCTTTATGTTTGCTACCAAAGAATAAGTGATGGATAAAATTCTTAAGGTTTTCGTGGCAACGTGTTAACCTCTTGCGCTGGAAAGACGTGCTCGCACGTTGAGACATTTTTGTTTCAAAGTTGTCAATGATGTCTTATATTCATCGATAGTCTTGTTGCATTACACATACTAGATTGTTTTCGAATGCATCACCCGATACGAAATTATGAATAAACAAGATTAGTGTACATATCTGCGTGAAATAGGTAGAAACAAAATTCTTCGCGCAAGACATTGCCAGATATCTCAATTAATTTCCCGAGCAAGAGGTTAAATCGGTGTCTGATTGGTGGTTACCTAAAAGAGAAGAAGAATTGCGTCGGATATGCTCCTGTAAAATTCTGAAACAGAATGTAAGAGATAGCAGGTAATTGCGAGGGAGAGGATAGGTTGACATGCATGAAGTAAGAAGTAGCAAGGAAGTTTTCGAGAATCCTGCATGCCAGAGATGCAGGGACGAGTGTACGAGGTTTGCAGATGCTATATATGATGATACATGTATATGCAGATAATATAACGAGTAAGAAAGGTGCCGCTACAAAGGTTTCGAGAATTCGTATTATCAAGTCTTGATGCAAGACGATGCAAGCGACGCGGGAATCGATTCACCGATTGCGAGTGTAATTCACTGAAATCCAAGATTTATAGAAATAACGTTTACCTGAATGTGCTAGTTCATTCGGAAATTTACATGAAAATCCGCGGCGCATCGAGTTCAACGAGATTTCTGAATGAAGATAATAAATAGATGTCGAGTCCTTTCGGAAGGGCTAATTCTTGACGATGCAATTAGAGAAGTAGAATCACGATCGAAAATTTTCCAATAATACTGCCATTTCGTTCTCAATACCAAGGCATTTCCACCGAGAAGGAATTGTCTCCGTCGTTCCATCGTGTGCAACCCGACAGGAACGTAAATCCGCGCGAAAGCGGCGCGTGATCGTTCGATTTGAATGTGACTTATTCACGAATGAGTTTAGAAAAGTCGGTATCCCCTTGAGGTTCTCGGTTATCGCGTTATCCGGCTCCGCGACGAGCGGCGGGGCCCGCGTGGATTACAGTTATAAAGTGTACCGCAAATATTAAGTCAAAGACCGTAGATATCGGATCTCTCGTAGGTCCCGGCGGTCTTTACGGTACCGGCGACAACCATTTTCCGCGTGGTATCGTGTAATGCGTTGTTTGCACGACAATGGCTTCTTATGGAGCCCTCGCGCTCGCTCGGCTATACAAACCTACGCGGTGAACGTGCCGCGCACGCACTTCCGCGTTCCCGTATCCTTTAGCCGAGAGCGCGGGTGTCTGTCGCGATTATCGACGAAATAAATTCCACGGCAACCTATGGATCTTTTCCCCTTCTTTTCCTACTTCATCCTCAGCTTCTTCTTTCCTCTCTCTTCATCCTCGTCTTCAGTTTCTCCTTTTCTCTCTTCTTCGTTTTCGTCTTCGGCTTCTTCGCCTTCTTCTCTTTTCTTCAAAGCGGCCTGCGATAGCATTGAAAGAGGAATGAATTCGGTAAGATTAGGCGATAGAGGGTGAACGAGAGGATTTAGGAGTATAGGATGTTCTTTAAACCAGTGCCTGATTGGTGGTTACCTGAACGGCGAATTACCTCAGGTATGTTTCTTTAAAATTCTGAAACAGGATATAAGAGATATTAGGTAACTGGGAAGAATAGGTTAGATTGACACACCATCCATAAAGAAATTTTCGGAGAGCATGTCTGAGACGCGGAGATGAGTATAGGTTTAAGGACGCAACGTACGAGTAGGAAAAGGATTGAGTGGAAGCGAGATCCTAGATGTCGGTAGCCTTTTATTGGCAGAATAGGAAAGACATCGTCACATCATCTTTATTTTCCGTTTCTTCCTCTTCGCCTTTTTTTTTATTCTTTTGCACCTATCTCATCTTTTTGTTCCTCTTCTGCTGCACCATCTCCTTATCCTTCTTCCTCGTCGTGGTCTTCTTCTTCCATGTCCACGCGTTTTTTCCCCTTTTCCAGGGCGCATTAGAATAGAATGCTGGAGGCGGCCCGACGCGTTCTGCATTCTCGAAAACGCGCGCGCGCCAGCCCGCGAATCCACAAACAGAGATAGGAACGCGGTGCTCCCGGTCAACGCGTACGCGCCGATCACTTCCGAGCAATAAATGTTATCTCCTTAGCGAATCGTTTACGCGTACGCGACGGGAATATACCTCATCCTCATAAATCATTTCAGCCCGCTCGCTCGACTGCTCCGCGGAAAATATCAGTTGCGAGACGCGGGGCGAGAGAGCGCGTTAAGCGGTCCCTGTGTTTTACTTTCGCGATACGAACACCTTCCGATTTATCGACGCGGCAACCTGCGAATTGCTTCTGGAATCGGAGACGCGATCGTCGTTCGAGGAATCGCTCGATTATCGACACAGTGTTGCATCGCGGAGGAACTTTGTGTGGACGATGACTGGAAGCTGGAAACGTTCGCTTCTATGCT